TTTGTTTGTGGTTTTTCTATATAACTGTATTTTCAATTCACTTGTGACACAATAAATACATAAATAAACAAACAAAAATACATAAATAAATAAAATACATAAATACATAAATAGATAAACAAGTGTGGCACCTTTTTTCATCTTACCACTCTATATTATGTTACTGAACAAATTATCTAGAAAATGGCCATCTACACTGCCATAAAATGGCATCATATGGTCAATACAAATTCATATAATGCAGTTTTTAACTGCGTGTAAACTGAGTTATATGACCATGTAAACGGGACCTCGGTTATCTTAAAATAACCTATGTGTCTAGGTTTTCTCTTTCCAAGGGGGGGGGGACAAAAAAGCCCCCCCCCCAAAAAAAACTGAGTGAGCTCATGATTTAATTAAACATTGATCATATCAAAAAGGGTTTCCAATAATCATTTAAGGAACTCCCAAGAAAGAAAAAAAATGACATGTTTTCTTAAAATTCCTTTGTCAAGAATGACAAATCCATATTAGAACATGATTTTGCATGGTTTATTGGGTAGAAATTTAATTATTTGCTAATTTTGTTCTCAAAGGAAGCAACAGCTAATTTTTAGCAATTTTCTTCATGCTCCAGGAGGTTTTTAAAATGTCAAAAAGGCATATTCTGCTCAAAATTTGCAAGTGGGCTGTTTCACAGAAAACGCTGCTTCCGGCACAGAAATCTCTGAAGTTTTGGTTTTATACCACACAACATTTGACCCTGGATTTTGTTTTTGTATTACTGCACAGAAAACAGCATATTATGACTGCGAAGCAGCATTTTATGCACACACACACACACACAAAATTAAAAAAATACACAAAGTGCTGTTCTGCAGTCAAAAAAGTGTAAATTTTGCACAGAATAAGGGCCCGTCTACACTGCCACAAAATACAGCTTGAAACTCACAGAATACAGTGTAACTGTATCAAACTACATTATATGAGTCTACAATGACTATATAATGTAGTTTGGGGCCATAGTCTCAAACTCTTCAATCCAGGCTTCTCACATCAGGACTTCCCATTATTTGAAACATGCATTTTCAATTACTTCTCAAACATTTTAAAATATTCCACCTTGGCTACACCACACTTGGAATACTGTGTCCATTAATGGGCACCACAATATAAGGGAGATGTTCACAAGCTGGAATGTGTCCAGAGGACGGCAACTAAAATGATCAAGGGTCTGGAGAACAGGCCCTATGAGGAGCGACTTAAAGAGCTGGGCATGTTTAGCCTGCAGTAAAGAAGGCTGAGAGGAGACATGATGAGGGCCATGTATAAATATGTGAGGAGAAGTCACAGGGAGGAGGGAGCAAGCTTGCTTTCTGCTGCCCTGGAGACTTGGATGCGGAACAATGACTTCAAACTACAGGAAAGGAGATTCCACCTGAACATTAGGAAGAATTTCCTAACTGTGAGAGCTGTTCAGCAGTGGAACTCTCTGCACTGGTGTGTGGTGGAGGCTTCTTCTTTGGAGACGTTTAAACAGAGGCTGAATGGCCCTCTGTCAGGGGTGCTTTGAATGCGATTTTCCTGCTTCTTGGCAGAATGGGGTTGGACTGGATGGCCCACAAGGTCTCTTCCAACTCTATGATTCTATGATTCTTTCCATCCCTAATATTAGATCTCAAGATGACATGCTTTCATTCTGCTTCTCATAAAGGACTGGCTCCGAAGGCAAAGTCAAAAAGGTATTCCAATAATTGAATACAAAGAAGTGTCAGCAAAGCATCAGCAACATTGTTCTCCTAGCCTCTGCCCTCCAAACACATCAACATAATAATTTATCCCTGTCAGCAGTTTGTCTTGAGCAGGACATTCGGAGAGGGAAGTTTGTCCAAGGAAACTTTCTGATAAAGCGGATACATTGTTATGCAAACGTTTGACAACATTTGAGCCAAGCTTGCTTTCAATTGTATGCATATAAGCACATGTGAAGGAGGAAATGGGGAGTAATTAAAAGTAATTCATACTTGACATCCAAGATGGGAAAATAGGGAACAAACACTAGATTTTTCACATTTTGGGATCCTTATTAAAATTAAAACTCAATTTGCTCAGAAACTGTATTGTATATCTTCTGTTTTAAAAATCTTTCAAAGAAAATATTTTCTGTCAAATACACTTCTTTGTGTAAAATTAAATACTTTTCTGTGAAAATAATTTCTACAACACATTTGAAAGTGTGAAAAACAGGGAAATAGGGAAAGACAGCTGTCATGTTCACTTCAAAATGGATTCATGACTCCGGATAGCTCCTTTAGCACCTTACTCAATCATGGGTGTCTGAGCGGGACCTTGGGCCAGTCAATATATCTTGGGCACCATCTACACTGCCATATAATACAGTTTGAAGCTGCATTAAATGAACAGTGTAGACCAGTAGGGCTGGGCGGTTTCATTTCGTTAATTCGTAATTCGTTAAAAATTCGTTATTTTTTTATAACGAAGCGATAACGAACCATTCTGGAGCAACTTAAAAACGAAACGAATTTTTAAATTCGTTTCGTAAATGCTTCGGATTCGTTATGTATTCGTTTCGTTACCGGTTTGAGGTCGTTTCGTTATTATTTCCGCATGTCTGGGGCAAGTTTTATAGTTGTTGTTTGTTTAATTAGTGAAAAAAAATTATAATATCACACCAACAGTCAACAACAGAGGGAGAGGGAAGCTTCAGAAGTTCCCCCTGTCCCATTTGGAGGTTTTTTAGCGTATTGCGTGGTCGCGTCCGCCATTAACGAATCGATTCGTTATTGTTTCGTATTTGTTTCGTTATTGTTCTTCATTAATGTTTCGTAATTTTTTTAACATTTACGAAATTTCGTAAATATCGAACTTTTTAAAAGAAAAATTTCGGAATTCTTTTAAATATCGAAACGCAAAAAACCCCAAAAAACTAATCGATTTTAGAAACAAATTTTTCCGTTGTTACCCAGGCCTATAGACCAGGCATGGGCAACCTTTGGCCCTTCAGGTGTTTTGTACCAGAGTTATATCTTGCCCTTTTGCCCAGAAGAGTTCAAGGATATATGCATAGGGTTAGCCCTTAGTTAAAGCTATGGGCCCATCTACATTGCCATATAATGCAGTTTGAAAGGTGTTTTTGACTTCAACTCCCATCATTCCTAATAGCCAGCAGGCTGTTAGGAATTGTGGGACTTGAAGTCCAAAATGCAGTTTAACTGCATCACATTGCATTCTATGACTCTACACTGACCAACTAATGCAATTATATGGCAAGGGGCCATACCTAAGGGCCAAACTCTATGCACATGACTTTGAACAGAAGGGCAAGATATAACTCTGGCAAAGATGAAAATAGTTGACCTTCCCTTAAACCGATCTTGTATCTTCTATGCCTTCTCATACTTCGGTGCCATCATTTCAGATGATACAATTTTGTGTTGTCAATCTTTAAACCCTTGAGTTTAGCTAGATAAGTGAATTAGAACCGTAAGCCTAAATAAAAACCAATTAGTTATTAATAGTTGTTGCTAAAAATTAGCACTCAGCCCTAGTATCTTGTAGCACCTCATCAGTTAGGCTGTCCAATTACAGTATGCTGAAGCTTACTAGAAAAAGGTCACATCATTATGAATTTTTCATACATATTCCCACATAAATGTCAAAATCTGTTTAATAGCAAAATAAGCTTCAGCCAGTAGCAGCAGAGTTCACTGCTGGAGATTTTCTGGAAGTAGCAAAATTTTCCTAGAATAATTTTTTAAAGCTCTAACATATTTTTGGCAAAGCATGGCTGCTAATGTTCAATGCTTGTGAATCCCTCAAAAGGGAAAAAAATGATGTATCAAAATGACTCTCACAATACATTTAGAAGATCTATTCACAATTTATCTTTTAAGAACAATTGCCTCCATAACAAGAAACTCTAGATTCAAAAGGATTTTCAAGACCACGGAGCAGGTTTTTATGGAGTTCACAAGAGGATGCACTAATCCTCTTTGAGGGTGAGAAGGGCGGTATATAAATACCACGAATAAATAATAAATCAATAATCACAATTAGTCCATCTTCACAATTAGTCCATCTTTTACCATGTTTACTTCCATATAAAATCCAGATTATCTGCTTTGAACAGGATTATATGGCAACATCTACTCATATAATCTGGTTTGATAATCTGGATTATATGGTCTCTGAGCAGAAACTAGACGTCATGACACCTGCGGAAGCAATTTCTTGCATATTCCAGAAATTGAGGATTTTGAGATCCTACAACCTGGATCCTATTCTTAGTCTAGAGTAGACTCATTCAGTCATTGGAAATGCATAAATATTGATTTAAAGGACCAAGGCACTGACATCTCCAGCCCATCCTCTGTTCTGATATCAGCCAGCAAACCAATGCCTTAAATCAAGAAATAGCTTCCTAAGATCTACAGAGATACTTGCAGGAACACCTCAGCAAGTGAGAGTCCAAAAGTGGCAGGGTAAAACCCGAAACCTCAATCAGTGGCTGATACCAGATGAGGGACTCCCCCTGGGCACACAGAAGACTGGGCGACTTGGATGATACTGAATAGATTGCGTTCTGGCACCATGAGATGTAGAGCCAATCTTAAAAAATGGGGCTACAAAGTGGAGTCCATGACATGTGAATGTGGAGAAGAGCAAACCACAGACCACTTACTAGAATGCAGCCTGAGCCCTACCACATGCACAATGGAGGACCTTCTCACAGCGACACCAGAGGCACTCCAAGTGGCCAAGTTTATAACTTTGTTTATGGTTTTTCTATACATTATAACTGTATTCTCAAATTGCTTCTGACACGAAAATAAATAAATACAATTGATTCAATGAGTCTGCTCTTGGTAGAACTAACAATAGGATTTAGGAAAGTGAATCTGTGATATATTATGTTAAATATCCTTAGGTATAGTACACAATAGGGCGATGCCCTTGGGAATGTTCCAGATCTGGCAGCGCTTTTGAATTCTCCATCCTACCTTCATACAGCCAGTCGCTGAGTCCATTGAAAATAACTTTCTCTTTTCCAGTGGAGACCACGCGGATGGCTTGCTTCCCCACATGGGCACAGTAGTAGATGTTGTTCTCAAAGATAAATATCTGCACAGAAAAAAAAATGAGAGAGAACTATTTTGTAACTTTGGTCAATTATGGATAGCTTAACAGCATAACACAGACAGCTTGATAGCAAAGAACATTCATAGGCTAACAATGGACAGAGAGCTTGGAAAATTTAAAATGTGGATTTTGTACATCTAAATGTATTCAGAATAACGTGAAATCTCTGCTCCAACCTCATGCTTGTAAAAAAAGGCAACAGTGAGAAAAGCGATTTGCTTTCTGCTCAGGTTTCAACTCGATGCAAGTGACCAGAGAAAAACTGGAATAGATTCCAAAGCAAGTAGAAATCCTAATTTATTTCCATCAGCTGTTTGGATAAGTTTGCCTATGGCTAAAAAGAAAAACAGAAATAATAAAGAAATAACATTATTTGATGCATTTCAAATCTTCGTGGAGTTAGGAAAGGCTTTTAAAAGAGCTGTTTTCAATTCATACCATATGGAGGTAGACACACTGCCTCAGATATTGAAGAATTTCCTTCCCCCCTGCCCAAATCCTTCCTCATTTTGTGAGATATTGAAAATATAGTAAAGGTAAAGGTTTTCCCTTGGCATTATGTCTAGTTGAGTCCGACTATGGAGGGTGATGCTCATCCTAGGAGGAAACCATGAAAACGAACAAAATCTGGCTACCAGTATTAAAAAACTCTAAAATCAGACTCAAAAAGCAGGGGAATTCCAGACAAGAATCAATCAGAGCCAGCTAACACCTCCCAACAAAGGATTCCCTCAGGCAGCAACCAGCCAGGGCTTGAAACTGCAGGCCATTAAATGCTAATCAAGGTGGCAAATTGCAACATTCACATGTACCTCTAGCAGATGGGTTTTTTCCCCACCTTGGACACTCCACAGAAATATAAACCTCACTTGACTAGTTTCCAACAGACTTCACAACCTCTAAAGATGCCTGCCATAGATGCGGATGAAATGTCAGGAGAGAATGCTTCCGGAACATGGCCAGACAGCCCAGAAAACTCACAGCAACCCAGAAACTCCCCTTCCTATCTCAAGTGTCCTTTAGCTTGCCTGTGAGCCATTAGCATAGGGAAAACCTAACCAGAGAAACAGCTACAAGGTCATAACTTGATAATATTACAAGACACACACACACAAACATTTAACTTTCAATCTCCATTCAGAATAAATGGATTTATATTGTGCAGAAGCCCCAAATTACCCATGACAAAGATATGATTTGTTCCTGGAAATAAGCTTCTAACATTATAAAAAGCTCTGATAGTTTTGACATTAAAAAAAAGAAGACAGACGTCTCCCCAAATAGCTTTAATTCTTGGAAGCGGCCCATATTTTATATGAATTACAGGCAATATAAATTGTAAGAGACAATAATTTTATAATGCTGCATAATAGTACATTGCTTTCCTCTGCTTCCTCTGTCTTCAAAGTTTATCCATCCTAAGTAGACCTTCAGGCTCAACTATAGGGCTACCAAGTTGCTCTCCAGCTTGATTACATTCAGTGAGTCCTAGGGTGCATCTACACTGCATAATTAATGAAGTTTGACAAAACTTTAACCGCCATGGTTGCATGCAATGCAGTTCTGGGATCTGTAGTTTAATGAGGCCCCAGCACTCTTTGGCAGAGAAGTCTGAAGACCCTACAAAACTGCAACTCCCATGATTCCATACCATTGAGCCATGACAGTGGTGCCCTTGGCAGTACAATGGGTCAAACCTTTGTGCCGGCAGGACTGAAGACCAACAGGACAGAGGTTCAAATCCGGGGAGAGCATGGATGAGCTCCCTCTGTTAGCTCCAGCTCCCCATGCGGGGACATGAGAGAAGCCTCCCACAAGGATGGTAAGCCCGCGGCATTGGCCTCCACGGCCGATGCTGCGGCCGGGTCCACTCAGTCAGTGGGGTCGACCGTTGCTGCCGTGGGTGTAGCAGTGAGTGAGCAGTTGGGGACGGCCGTCCCAACAGGTACTTCCACCACACTCACATCATCGAACACTTTCACATCACTCACATGGCCCTGGGACCAGGGGCGGGCTCAACCTGTCATAGGGGACCAGGGGCGGGCTCAACCTGTCATAGGGGTTCAGTCTTATGCTGCAGTCGGGGGTCAGCCTTCGGGTGGGACGGATTCCGGTGCAGGAGATGGGAAGGATGATGTCGCCGCTCAGTCGGCTAAACCTGCTACGGTCACCTTGGAATCGGCTCGCACTGGGGAGGCAAGAAAATTTTGGGGTACAGCGAAGTGGCCACCTCAGGCGACGCCTACCTTCAGCCTTTCAGGTTTAGGTTCCCATTTGGCGTCCAAAACATTGGAGAAGGTTTTGAGGAATGAATACGTTGATATTTTTTCCTTATACTTCAGGGATATGGATAAGAAAGAGAAGGAGGAGTTAGATGAGGATAGTAAGGAGAAAATAAAGAAACGCAAGGTGGAGCAGAACTGGGAGAATTGGCTCCCTTGTTTTACTATGTATGCGAACCTGCTTTCTGATGCTGCCCCAGAAAGGGCTACGGCCTTGTGGCAGTATCAGAATATTATTAACAAGGCGTATGTTAGTGGCCCTCCCAACGCTTGGCTGGAATACGATCGACGGTTTCGCACTGAAGCGGCTAGCCATCCAGACAAGCGTTGGGATTTGATTGACGATCAAATTTGGATTGAGGTGATGAATCCGTCTAGGGCTTCCTCTGCCTTGAAGGCGGATAGTGGGCACACTATTCAGAACATGGTGGGACAGCCCTCTCGGCAGGGGGCTCCCCAGCTGCAGTCCCAGGGCCAGAAGCCTTTATGCTGGGAATTTGCGGCTCAGGGAGCCTGTTCACGAAGGGACTGTCGATATTCGCACTTGTGCTCTATTTGTTTTGGGTCTCATCCATCCCGAAATTGCCCCAAGGGGAGGGCCGCGAGAGGTAATAATAGGGACACCCAATTCGTTAAGAAACCTTCAGGTCAGGCCGCAGTTTCTCAAGGGCCCCAGCCCAATTAAGTTAAATCAGTTGAAGGTTTGGCTGGATAGGTACCTAGACAGGGGCAGTTAAGTACCTATGGGAAGGTTTTCAGTGGGTTTGCATATTCATATGTTGGGTCCCCAGTTTCCCACGCTATCCCCTAATCGGAGATCCATATAATTGGATGTGATCCCTGAGTCAATGGGCAGGGGAAAAATAGGATGCTTATTGGCGATAGGCTCGCCCGGTGTTTGTTTGTTTGTTGCTTCTTTTGCAGGGACTGCCAGGCTGGTGCATAGATGGAGAATCCTTGTTGTGGGCATAATTATGTCCACTGGGCGGAGAGATACGCCGGGAACTCGTCCTTTGGCCAGCGTCTGGGTGCGCTTCCACTGCATTGGTCGAGTGGAAGGGTGTTCGGGGCCTTCGTTGGGCCGGTGCTCCTTATCGGAGGTAATGATCTGGGACTGCTTAGTTCGGGCCGGTGCTCCATATCGGAGGTAATGATCTGGGCCTGCTTAGCGGCAGGGCCCTGTATCTGCAAGCCCGTGCCGACATTTTGGGATCTGGCAGGCATGGCCCAGGTTCACATCGCTTGGTCGGCCATCGTTCCACGCCTTCGGTGGCCAGGAGGCGGTGACGTCAGGAGTTCGAGAAGGCCGGACGGCGTGTGAACCGGGTCATGCACACGGCTTTGGCACGGGGCATACACCATGGAGACATTACACATGACGAAACACGGTTTTATCGTTTATGGTGGTGTACACCTTACAAATTGGGCAACGAACAGTTTGGGCTGATTTGCAGTTAGGCATTCAGGTGGTTTTGAGGGGCTTGGTGGGGGATGGGGGCGAAATAGACATTTGCCCCCAATCCGTGGCATAAATAGTTCAGGAAAACACTGACATGGAGGTATACACATGGCACCCATTAAGGGTGGGGGGCACGGTACAACAAACACTCACCTAGAAGTCAACAAATGGGTGAGGGGACATCAATTGGCCCAGTAAAGAGAGGAGCTGATATCAAGAATCGAATACAGGCTTCTCCAGATTTACCTTCAGGTTGCCCGGTTGGGGATCCAGGGCACACAGACATCACACATTAAGTAGCTGGGGACGCTGCCTCAGCTTGCCACCAAGTTCCTTGACACTTAGTTTAGTTCAGGTAAAGTTAAATAGGTAACATTCAATAAAAGTTGCCCAATTTGAATCCATACATTTGTTGTCTGTCTCGTTATTTCAGGGGTTAAGGGGCAAGGGACTCTCCACACCAACGAAGTTGGTGGGGAGAGCGATTTGCCCCACCCCCTGAAGGAAGAGAGGGGAGGTTGCATTCGAACCTCCTGGAAGAGGGGCGGGGGCTGGCTTACCACGTGAGCCAGCCTCAGCCCTTCAGTCTTGTCAAGACTTTTCGCCCGCCACTCCCGCCCATTGACAGTATATTTGGTTGCCCGTTGGAGCCGGGTAGGAATTTTTTGCCTCTCATGTTCTGGGGGGTTTTTTCGCCTACCCTATACTGTTATTAGGGGCTAGATGGAGTGGTTTGGTTTAACTAGGCCAGCATAAATAGTTCAGGAAAACACTGACATGGAGGTATACACATGGCACCCATTAAGGGTGGGGGGCACGGTACAACAAACACTCACCTAGAAGTCAACAAATGGGTGAGGGGACATCAATTGGCCCAGTAAAGAGAGGAGCTGATATCAAGAATCGAATACAGGCTTCTCCAGATTTTACCTTCAGGTTGCCCGGTTGGGGATCCAGGGCACACAGACATCACACATTAAGTAGCTGGGGACGCTGCCTCAGCTTGCCACCAAGTTCCTTGACACTTAGTATAGTTCAGGTAAAGTTAAATAGGTAACATTCAATAAAAGTTGCCCAATTTGAATCCATACATTTGTTGTCTGTCTCGTTATTTCAGGGGTTAAGGGGCAAATCCTGATATACAAAAAAAGCCATGACAGTTAAGATGCTGTCAAACTACATTAATCCTCAATCTGGTGCACACAAAGCCTGTTGGACTACAGCTCCCAGAACTGCCCACT